GCCTTTGACAGGGTGCAGTGGTGCCACTCTTGTAGGGCTGAGCTCAGTGGGAAATACTCGTGTTCTCCTTCCCTGACACGCTTCTGCCTTACACAGCTTCCAGCTTTCTGGGGAGGAAGGCCTAAAATCAACAACCTAATATTCCGTTTGAAGAAGACTGAGCTTCAAAGAAGAAGAGCGAGGTAAGCCTAAGAGAAGTAAAAGAAAAGAAAGCACAGAGTTAGGATAGGAAGTCAATGAATGAGCAGACAGACTTAGAGAAAGGGAAGGAACCCACTAGTAGGTTCTTTGAAAAAAGCTGCAAAATGGGTAGTAAGACCAATGTAGAAAAAAGTGAAAGAACACTAATGATCAGTGTCAGGTTTGAAAGAGGTTTTTACTACAGAGCATGGAGGCATTAAGAGGAGAATGAGGGGTCATATTGAGAATTTTATGCCAATAATACTGACAACTTAGGAAAATAGAGAAATAGCTCAGAAGTAAAGCACCTTACAAAACTGATAGCAGATCACATAGAAAATATAAATAGCTGTATGTCTCCTAAAGTTAAGCACTTGGCTGCTAACCGAAAGGTTGGTAGTTCCAACCCACCCAGAGGCTCTGCATGAGAAAGAACTGTTGATCTGCTTTTGAAAAGAATGCAGCCTGGAAACCCGATGGGGCAGTTCTACCCTGTCACACGGGGTCGCTGGGAATCGACAACTGACTCAACTGCACCTAACTGCAGCACAACAGACCTTGTAAAGAAATCTAGTTATCAGTAATAAACTTGGGAGCTCTGGTAGCATAGTGCCTAAGGCACTTTACTGCTGACCAGAAGGCTGGTGGTTCAAACCCACCAGCCACTCCTCAGGAGGAAGGTTGGGCAATCTACTTCTGTAGTGATACTGCCTTAGAAACCCAAGGAGGGGTCGCTATGAGTAGAGTTTGACTCGATGGCACATAACAGCAACAGCAACAATAATAAACTTGCCTGAACACACACACACACACACACACACAGAGAGAGAGACTAAGCAAGCAGAATAAGGGAGGAGGACATGCAGGCTTCCAGCTATGGGAGGGAGGTGCCAATCCCAGCAGTGAGAGTGCATTGAGGCCTTGGTGCATCTGTGACAGGTGGGCTCCAAGACCTGGGCGTGGGTGGTAGGGTGGGGTGTGTGGTACCCAATGTCCCTTTCTCCTCTCCATCCAGCGACTACAGGCACTGCAACCCTCCTCCACTCCTCCTATCCGTTTACCCCCCACCAGGTCTACAGTCATGACACTGGCAATGCTGCGGGACTGGTGCAGGTGGATGGGCGTGAACGAGCAGCACTCCCTGCTCCTTGTGGGCATCCCGGACGACTGCAAGGAGGATGAATTCGAGGAGGCCGTGTGGACTGCCCTGAGGCCCCTGGGCAGATACCGAGTGCTGGGCAAGGTCTTCAGAAAGGAGCTGGGGAAGAAGGTTGCCTTGGTCGAATTTGCTGACAGCTTAGACCACAGCTTGATCCCCCAACAGATACCAGGCAGAGAGGGGCCCTGGAGAGTGATCTCCTTGCCCCAGGTTCCTCATGCCGAGTTACAGGGGGGAGCCTCTCTCCCCATACAACACCACGGGCAAGAAGTGGCAGGTGTGGTGGGAACAGCAGGAGTTTCAGGTGATGAAGGAGCTGCAGGTGATGTGGGAGACCCAGGTGTGGCAGGAGTTGAGAAGGTGGCAGGAGCTGCAGGTGTGGCAGAAGCCACAGGGGAGACAGGGGCTGCAGGTGGGGCTGGAGCCACAGGAGAGGCAGGGTATGAGGATGTGGCAGGAGCACTAGGTGTGGCAGCAGCCCTGGATGAGCCAGGAGGCACCGACAAACCTGAAGCCTGGGTGCAGCAGTGGAGGTACGTCCTGCAGCCCTTGCTGGAGACCTTGGCCTACCAGGAGCTGAGACCCTTTTCTGGGCAGGAAGAGCCAGGCCCTGGGGAACAGCCTTTTGACTGGTGGGTGAACCATGTCTATGACATGCTGTGCCTGTGGCGCCATGTGTCAGAGAGGGAGAAGAGGAGGAGGCTGGTGGAGTGTCTGAGTGGTCCGGCCCTGGACCTCTTGTGTAACCTCCTGGCAGAAGACCCCAACCTCACTGCACAGGACTGCTTGGTCACCCTGATGCAAGTGTTTGGGGCCCCAGATACGAGCACGACCTCATGGTTTAAATTCCTCACCTGTGCTCAGCAGCCCAGGGAGAGCCTATTTGCCTTTGTGATGCGCCAGGAAGGCCTGCTGCAGGTGGCCATGGAGAATGGGGTGATCCACCCGGCCATGGCAGACCAGGTGCGTGCCCGGCAGGTGTTGTTGCAGGCTAACTGCAATCCCACTCTGGGCAGGAAGCTGAGGAGGATGTACATGGAGGAGCGGCCTCCGGGCTTCCTGGGGCTGCTGAAGCTAGTTCAGGATACTGAGGCATGGGAGGCTGCCCAGGCCAGTCTGCTGCAGTCTG